AAATGGATGATAGCATCTCACAGCCAAACGAATCCGTGAAAATGTCTGCATCTCTGATACCTGAGAGTACTCTCCAGATAGAATGAAGGGGTTCAGATATTGGAAGCGAACTATTTCGCCCCCTAGTATGTTTTACCGTAAAAATGGGTTGCTCCATCGCGAATAGTGGGTAGTATATATCACTTTGGTCAACCCCATTCAGCTGGTAGGTACATTTGCAGCATTTCCATCAGTCCTGATAGTTTCATCATTCTACCTCAATTATTACGGAAGATACAGGGGGTGTTTCCATGAGAAGTGAGACAAATTTGGATTTTTCAAGACTGAATTTTTTTCAGGAGAAGAGTGTATTCGTAGTGAGTTGGTAGTTGGGTTGGGGTTGGGGTTGGATTATTCCATCGCGAGTGGCTGGCAGTGTATATCACTTCGGCCAACCCAATTCAGGTGGTATATGCATTTTGAGCATTTCTATCAGTCCTGAGAGTTTGATCATTTTACCTTGATCATTAAGGAAGATATAGGGGTGTCTCCATGAGAAGTGAGACACACTGTATATTCGCAAACAGTGACAAACGGCATTGAATATTGATGAGGGTTTGTCTGAAAGAAATCAAATGAAGCTTGAAACTTTTGTTTTTTTTGTATGTGAATGATCTTCTCAACTACATATAGGAGGAAATGTTATTCATGTATGCAGATGACATAACATTCGTGTTCAAGGGATGTTCTGTAGACAAAACAGTATCTAAAGCTAAAACTATCTTTAAATAGTTTTCTTATAGTACTCGTCCAATAATCTCTGGAAAAATATAACTAATACAGAAGAGAAAAATGTCAATGACCATAGTTTGAAATGCAGTCAACAAACACACTTTGTTTTTAGGAACTACTTTTGATTCAGAAATTCAATGGACTGAGCAAATCGACACAGTTTGTCGTAGGCTCAATAAAACATACTCGCTAGGCTTTCCATGATACTCGATCTTGAGTTTGATGAGTCATTCAAACATTAAAAAAAAGTTTTGACTTCCACAAGTATGTATTTATTTATCCAACATTCTTGTATATATAAATACACAAAAATGAAATGAAGTTTGGAATGCATTCCGATGTCAACCAAAGTTTAGTCATATGTACTATAAAAAATCACCGGAAGCCTGCCTAATCAACTGAAAACGCTATTAATTGAAGAACTGAAAGCAGTGTTTTAAAATTACTTTTATAAAAATGTTTTTATCATTTGAGCCAGCAATAAGTTACGATCGTGAACATTGTAATTGATGACATGAAAGGAAGAAAATGTATCTATCTATCTGTTGGTTGTATAATTGGATATCAATACATTTCGTCTCAATCATGTCACTGGAATAGTTAAGTTAACCTTTCAGAATCTTGGAACAGTATTTCGTAGTAAACAGTTGTACACAACTCGGCTTCATAAAACAAATTGGACCTTCTTTGGAATATTGCTCACATTAAGAGAGCTCCCCTCTCAAACATATCCTGACGCTACTAGATTCTATTCAAATTCATCCTCCCGAATGAAGATCAAGATGCCTATTTTATTCCTGCAGATACTTTATATGGAAATGTTTAAAAGATTCTTTCCAGAGCATTACATAATAATAATAATAATAATGTGTCAATTCTGTCAATCTAGGATACATATAGATTTTTTAACAATTGGTACATTAATGATCCTAGGGCTAACGTCAAAGGCGAAGTTCAAATCAATCATTCAAAATTACTGATTTGTTCTACCACTTAACCTCACTCAAGCTTAACATTATGGATAATGCCTATAATACAGAATTTGAAAAAAAACAATAATAGGGACTCTTAACAACTTAGGGATCTGAAATGTATCATTTGGTTTATTGCTTCCACAAAACATTCTTATAGTAGTACTCAAAACTAATCATATTAATTTTTTTAATTTCGTTTGGATTACCGTTGTACACGTAGCCAATTTGGTAACTGAAGGACCGTTTAAAGAATTCATGATTCATGAATTGGTGGTGTTAATATACCTTCAAATCGAATATTGATAGTATAAACATCGGTTCGAAAAAAATTTTTTTCATATAAGTAAATCGGAATCTTCGTTATGATTATTCTATGAAATAAACACGCTGCATGCAACCGCCTACGCATTGCCATATTTAACCAACCCGTTTCAACCAATTTATTGGAAATACTTTCTCGCCTTAGAACCACATGAATGAGACGTAAACATGAATTCTGAATCTTTTGGATTTTTTGCTCATATGCTTTCGTTAAGCAGGGACCGTACACTGAGTCAGCAAAATTCAGGGTAGACAAAACTAAACTATCACATAACATTATTTTTGTTGCTTTTGTAAGAGAATTTCTATTTCCATAAATAATCTTAAGAGTTCCATAAGCCTTTTGAATAAGTTTTTTTCACGTGTGTTTCGAATCTTAAATTACTTTCGAGAATGAGCCCCAGACTTCTCGCTTTATCTACAATGGACAGGTCCTTGTCAAGTATTTTTATTTTGTCTTCAATCTTTTGGCCCAAATATCAAAACATTTCGCTTTTTTGTGTTGTTAACTAGACAATGATCAGTTGCAGTTTCAACAAAATTATTGATGTCTTTATAAACTTGTGCACAAGCCTTATCAACGTCTTCAGGTTTCAAAGAGATATAGATCTGTGTGTCTGCGTATAAATGAGAAGAACAATGTCCAAGGGAGTTAACGAGCTGGCTGGTATAAATAGAAAAGACAAGTGGACCTAGGATTGAACTTTGTGGCACTCCCGACTTATTGGCTGCTACTGTCATACTCTGATATCTTCCCCTCAAATAATTATTGAAGAATTCAACACTATCTGTAGATATTCCTATATGATGCAGAATTGACATTAGTACGTCATAGTTCATAGTGTCAAATGCCCTACTAAAATCAAGAAGTATCAGGGCTGTACATAAACTTTTATCTGAAGCTGAAAGAATATTATCGACTAAATGTAGCAAGGCGGTAGTGCAAGTATGTCCTCTTCTATATTCAGATTGTGTCTTCGGTAAAATTGATTTTTCATTCAGGTCTTTCGTCAGCTGATGATTAACAATGTTGACATCGTGGGTAAAATGCTTATTGCATGAAGGTCTTTCAGTTCTTGAGGATTAGTAGTTTTTGGTAGTGGTAATATTAGAGCCTTCTTCCAATTTGAAGAAAAAAAATTATTGGTGAGACAGTAATTGATGATATGGGTGAAAAAAAAAGAATTACTGGACAGCATTGAAGAATCATTTTGATATTCAAACCATCATATCCAATTGCATTGGTTTTTATTTGACAAAGAGTTTGGGATACCAAAGACTGGTCTACTGAAGATGTTAGAAGTACACATCTCAAGAAGGTTTTCCAAATGAATCTGCAGCGCACATGTAGAGTTCCTTTTAGATCACTTTGAGGATTCTTCTGCATTACTTGTGGATCTTCATGAAAAACTAATTAATACAGTTAATTGTATGATTTTCACTATGAAAGGTTTTACAAAAACCACGACACGTGTTTCGCTTTCTCTAGCGTAAACATAGTTTACGTTTGAGAATTCGTGAAAATTCGTTTTATTTAATCTAATTAATGTTCTTAGTCAAATAGTATCAATACCAATTATGACAATAAGGAATGTAATTTTTAGCTTGCAACATATCAATGGAATTAATACTTATTTTTATTTCCAGGAATCAGCACTCCCACCATCGCCAAAAGTGGAAACGATTTACCTCTGGCACGATCGGTCAGCTTACTTCTTTATCCAGATATTCAAGCAGAAGACCATATTTGGACACTCAACGCTATGCAGTACGGTCAAATTATCACGCATGATATGAGTATGATAGCTGGAAGTACCCAAGCACGTAAGTATATTCCCTAACTGCTATGTAAGAGATATACTTCACTCCAGGAAATAACAGCAGAATTTTTAACTAGATTCGTGAAGATCAACCCCCCAAAAAAATTTAATTTATCTTTTTTATTTGATGTTGAAGGTGCAATACTAGCCTTTCTTCTCAATATTTACGGAACTAGCAATAGAACATAAATAGCTCATTATTTTTTTCTACAATAGTTTCAATTGTTTCAATAAAATACAACATTGAATTCATATTGAAGTATATTCCATAACAATGTTTTCCTCCACAAATTCAACATACCTACTAGAGGCGATGTTTTCATGTGATTTCTCCAACAGAACTAATCAGCGATATTACGTTAGACAAATGTTTTTTTCAAGTAACTCAACAGAAAAGTTGGAAAAGTGAATTGTTATGGAGTAATGCTGTATTACGAAATGGAAGTTATATTATTTTTTAATGATGACTCATACATATCACTTTTGTGATAACTATAAAGGAAAACAGTTGAAACTGTACACATTCATACACATAAGAAAATGCACTTCACAGTTAAGGTATTCTCAAAATCTAAATTTTACTTTTATAGAAACATGTGGATTCGTTTTCCGATGGCATTTCAGGTTAGCTTCCCAAATTTCTACCGCAGTTGTCGGTTGATTGGTCAAACCACCAACACTGACATAAAAACTTGGCAAGTTGACTTGAGTGTCACACCAATAGGTGGTTCCATTTATATTTCGCTTGCATTTACGCAGATATTTTTATGTGTTCAGAAAATCAGAAAAAAATTTCGAGTAATTCTCTCATGTTAATATCACCACAAAACCCAGAAAAAATTTGAAATTGATATATTTCTTTGGTTTGTCATGAAAAATCACAATGATTTATGAAACTGAAAAGTGATCTACTAAAAACATCGAAATTTCAATTATTCTACAAATTCGACTGTGAGAGTTGTGAAAAATTATAATTCAGTTTAGACAAACAATGTAGTTATCAGGTTTCACGGGCAACAACATTCAGATATTTATTACTTTGTAGAAGAACGGCATTAATGGAGAGCCCTCCTGGCATGGATCGTCATTGCCAGCCTCGATATTATGTCAATTTTGTAAAATTAAAAAATTGGTGAAGTGATAATATTCGTATAACATCGTCTAAACCTCTATAGAGATGAGAATGGTCAGATTTCGCACATATCATGTATTTCTTTTCAGAACCCCATCAAACTCAATGCTGTTCGCCACAAGGTCAACTTCTGCAGTTTGCCAACATTCCAGAACATTGTTTTCCCCTTGTTTTACCAGATCATGATCCTGCTCACTCTCAGACCAATGCAAGATGTATGAACTTTGTAAGAACTATTACCAATCGGGATCGCAATTGTGTTGGAGGTTCACAACCCGCAGAACAGGTGATTTTTTTCTAATTCCTACTCAGATAAACGATGTAAGTTCAAGTTTTCACTGATTTTTGGGATGTTGTACGATGTAGGAATAGCCTTCTCTGGAAAGGAGACCGATGATCAAACAAAAAATTGCATATTGCAATCAATCCTCACGCGCAGAGTTTTGATACCCCCCACATGTCAGTATCTTCGAAAAAATCTCTTACTCCATTGCATAACTCCTCTTTGCATAGACAAAGAGGAGTTACAACGAAATAATGCTTACCAGTGTATGGAGATGGGAAGTTTCAAACTGTTTTTGGATGATGAATCATATACGCTCGATGTAAAAATTTCATAGAAAATATTTATTGATTTACCAATTTATATTTTGTCCCCATCAAAGAAGTCTCCCTCAGATATAGTAAGTACACTTGTTCCAGCGTTTTTACCAACTATCGAAGCAGTTCTGATATACACTTTTTTGTATGTCCTTGAGATCTTTTTTTTTTTCAAGGACAAAACACAAGCACTACAGGAAGCTCTAAGAGCGGTGCCTGAGTGCTCGAAGACACAGGGAGAATATTTTTTTTTAAGTGATAAATATGAAATGTGCCTCTTTCCACCTCAGAGTTGCAGAAGGCTAGTGTGAATTCAATTCACTTTATTTACCAAGTATCAGTAAGGCAACTTTCTTTTTTCAAACAGAACACTGGGTGCGTTATGAATTCATGAAAAGTTATTGACCAAATTGAAAACAATGTGTTCAAACCTGAGCCAACACTGGTTCAGAAAAATATATTGACTTATGCAGTCCTACAAAGAACAGTTCGAAGTTCTGTATTATTTTTATGTCAAAAACTCATTTAAAATGTGAGAAAGTGCTTTGACAGTAATTTGTTAACTTATAATGTGATGAATGAATACCCTGTAATCAAAAGTTCAATTTTACAGAACCTCAAGTTCAGTTCAATTTCGATTTGATTACGGTAAAGTATCATAGAAAGGAGTTGATCAAACTTATGTAAAAAACTCTGATATATTACGAAAGTGGTTTAGAAAAATCATGGTCAATGAAAACATTCACTTCGAATAAATTATTTTGAGACAATGAGAAATTGATACTAGGCAATGGACTTGTTTCATACTATGGAAAATGATAGTGGTTTGCTTATAGACTGATCAACTTAGGGGTATATTATACTTATCAAGCCTAATCGGTCCCAAGATCTCTTTGTATTTAGGAAGATTAGCGTTAACTAATCGAAC